TCAAACATGATGTCCTTCTCCAGGGACTGGTCTTTCCTGGAAACATGTCCAGAGTATGTAAGTTTATGTCTTGCCATCCTGTTGTCCCTCTAAGAAGCATTCTGGTTGTACTTCCTCCAAGACATATTTGTTTGGTCTTTTGGAAGTCCATGGTACTTTCAATATTCTTCTCTAGAACCACAATTCAAATATATTGAGTCTTCTTTTGTCTTCCTTATTCAATGTCTACTTTTTCCATGCACAGGAGGTGATTGACAATAACATGGTTTGGGTCAAATGCACCTTAGGCCTCTAACTAATCTGCTTGCCTTTCAACACTATAAAGAGATTGTGTGAAGCAGATTTTTTCATTGCAATGTATCATTTGATTGCTGCTTCCATGAGCATTGATTGTGGATCCAAGTAATATGAAATCCTTGACAACTTCAATCTTTTCTCTTTATCATGATGCTACCTACTGTTCCACTTTTGAGGATTATTGTTTTTATTTACATGATTTGTAATCCATACCAAAGGCTGCATGCAGTACTTAATCTTTAACAGCAAGTGCTTCAAGTCTTCATTTTCAGCAAGCAATTTTTTAGCATCTGTACATCCCAGGTTGTTAATAAGCCTTCCTCCAATCTTGATGCCAAATTCTTTTTCTTAAAAGCTAGTTTCTTTGATGATTTGCTCAGCATACAGATTGAATAAATATGTGTTGAGAGGATGCAAACCTGATACACGCTTTTCCTGATTGTAAACTATGCAGTGTCTCCTTGTTCTGTTCCCACAACTGCCTCTTGATCCATCTACAAGTTCCACACGAGCACAATGAAGTGGCCTGGAATTCTCATTCTTCTCAAGGTTATCTAGTTTATGCTTCACACTGTTGAATGCCCCGATGTACTTAATAAAACACAAGTCAACATCTTCCTGGTGTTTTCTGCTTTCACCCTAGGTCCATCTGACATCAGCAATGATATCCCTTGTTTCACGTCCTCATCTGGATCGGGCCTTGGCCCTCTTCCAGCTCGTTGTCAATGTACTACTGCAAACCTTGTTGGATGATCTTCACTAAAATTTTCCTTGTTTGTGATAGTAATGTCATTGTTTTATAATTTGAGCATTCTCTTGGTCACCTTTCTTTGGAATGTGATCTAACAGTATGGATTATACTTCAACATGAAACAAAAATCTCACAACTGGACTAATAAGGAATATAATTATAAAATGGTGAAAGATTTAGATTGTCTGCTTGAACCCAAAATCAATACCCATGGAAGCACCATTAAAAAAAAAAGATGTATTACATTGGGCAATTCTGTTGCAAAGACCACTTTAAAGTGCCAAGTCACAGTTTCAAATACTGCATATGCATGTGAAACCTAAAGATGAACTGCATTATATCAGTGAAAACGAGGAAGATTCTCAGCCAGATGGAGTGCCACAGTGGCTGCAACAGTAATCTCAAATAGCAACAATTTTAAAGATGATACAGGATAACACAGTGTTTCATTCTGTTGTATATGGGATCACTATGCTTCAGAACTGACCTGATAGCGTCTAACAACATTGTGTTCTGGGCTCAGGGGGAGTCAAGAAGCATCGCATAATGCTTCTCATCACTATAACATTCCTTCTTAATATTGATATCTATTTTGTTAATGGATTATTTGTGAACCTCATGATTTTGTACTTATGGCCTTGTTTGCATGGTTTTCAAAAATCTATGTGGTAAGGCTAATATCTATATATACTAGAGAGTAACTGATTTGTATTAAGTGGTTTGTAAGTCTATATTATCAAAGTAAGAGCCTGAGAGTAGATATGAGAATTAGTGGTAAGGGGCTTAGATGGAATTGTTAAAAATGCCATTGTTTTTTTTGTACAGGAGCCATGAATAATAGAGGTTTTCGTCAGGGAAGTTTTTGTAGCTTCCAGAGCAGCACCAGTGATGAAGACTTGATGGACATACCAGGGACAGCTATGGACTTCTCCATGAGAGATGATGTTCCTCCCTTAGACCGAGAACTAGAAGGTATTACTACTAATAAAAATGTATCTTTTTATTGTTTTTGAATACCAAACTATACTTACTGTTCACAGTGGTAAAGGACAACAAATAATGTTGAAATTGGTGAAGAAACAACAGAGCTAACAATCACCCCACCCCTGGCCCAGAGCTAAATACAAAGGAAGCAATCACATTTTCAGCAACATTTCACACAAGCAAGAGATGAAAGGTCATGTCAAACCACCAGGTGACTACAAAAGCAGAGAATGGCCGTTAAAGCAGCAGTGAACCCTAAGGACAAGAGGCATAGATCCCCAAATAATTCACAGAACTGAAGTCACCATAGTAGTGCATATAAATTCCATACACATTTGGAAAGCAGCACAGCAAAAGTCCATGAGAATAACATGATGTCATCTTTCCATGGGCTTCATCTGTCACCACACTCCAAGGTAGCTGTTTACAGAAGTAGAACACAACATAACTGCACTTTTTCAAGTAACTGAAGTCCCTGATTTAGTTTGGAAAGTAAAATCTATATAGCAGTCTTTTGAATGGTAGATTATAAAATTGAACATCTATGATAAAATATCGGACAATGACAAGATCCACAAATACCTACTCCAACAATCTATGTCATGCATATTATAATGATATGGTATACCCCCTCCCCACCAAAAGACTCTTCTTGGTAATTGAACTAAGTCCTAAGTTGGGCTCCACATGTATGTGCAGTTACCCATGTGTCACTTTTTGAGTCTGTCTTCCTTCACTCAATAGTCATTCGAATAGGTGTGATGTGGTACCGCTTCTTGGTTTAAGCTTGCATTTCTCTAATGGCCAATGATGTTGAACATTTTT